AAAAAAAGAAAGAGGAAAACAAAATGAAAAGAAGAGGAGGATGTGGAAGAGAAGATAAAAGAAAAAAAGAGGAAGAGGATTACAAAAAAAAAAGAAGAGGAGGATGTGGAAGAGAAAGAAAAAAAAAAAAAAAAAGAGGATTACAAAACAAAAGAAGAGGAGGATGATGAAGAGAAGATAAAAAAAAAAAAAAAGAGAGAGGATTACAAAACAAAAGAATTAGAGGAGGATGAAAAGAAAAGAAAAGAATAAAAAAGATTAAAAAAAAAAGAAGAGGACAAAACAAAAGAAGAAGGAGGAAATGGAAGAGAAGATTAAAAAAAAAAAAGAGGAGAGAAGAGAGTTAAAAACAAAAAAGAGAGAGAGGATGGATGAAAAAGAAAGAGTAAAAGAAAAAAATAAAAAGAGAGAGGAAGAAGACAAAAGAAAAGAAGAGGAGGATGATGGAAGAGAAGAAAAAAAAAAAGAGAAAGAGGAAGAAGAAAAACAAAAGAAGAGGAAAAAAAAAAAAAGAAAAAAAAAAAAGAGAGAATAAGGGGAGACAAAAGAAGAGGAGGATTGTGGAAGAGAAGAGAAGAAAAAGAAGAAGAGGATTAAAAAAAAAAAAAAGAGGAGGATTGGAAGAGAAGATAAAAGAAAAAAGAAGAGAGGATTACAAAACAAAAGAAGAGGAGGATGTGGAAGAGAAGATAAAAGAAAAAAAGAGAGAGAAAAAAAGAAAAAAGAAGAGGAGGATGAAAGAAGATAAAAGAAAAAAAAAAGAGAAGGGATTACAAAACAAAAAGAAGAGAATGAGAAGAAAAAAGAGAGAAAAAAAAAAAGAAAAGAGGATTACAAAACAAAAGAAGAGGAGGATGTGGAAGAGAAGATAAAAAAAAAAGAGGAAGACAAAAGAAGAAAAAAAAAGAAGAGGAGGATGTGGAAGAAGATAAAAAAAAAAAAGAGGAAGAGGAAAAAAAAACAAAAAAGAAGAGGAGGATGTGGAAAAGAGAAGAAAAAAGAGAAAAAGAAAAAAAAGAAGAACAAAAATGAAGAAAGAGGAGGAAAAAGAAGAAGAGAAAAAAAAAAAAAAAGAAGAAAGGATTACAAAACAAAAAAAAAGGAGGATGTGGAAGAGAAAAATAAAAGAAAAAAAGAGGAAGAGGAAAAAAAAAAAAAAAAGAAAAAAAGAAGAGGAATTGGAAGAAAGAAAAAAAAAAAAGAGGAAGAGGATTACAAAAAAAAGAAGAGGAGGATGTGGAAGAAGAAAAAGAAAAAAGAGAAAAGAGGAGAAAAAAAAACAAAAGAAGAGGAGGATAAGAATAAGAGAAGATAAAAGAAAAAAAAAGAGAAGAGAATTACAAAAAAAAAAGAAAGGAGGAAGAGAAGAGAAGATAAAAGAAAAAGAAGAGAGAAAGATTAAAGAAGAAAAGAAGAGAAGGATGTGAAGAAGAAAAAAAAAAAGAATTAGAGAGGAAAAAAAAAAGAAGAGGAAGATGGAAGACAGAAGAAAAAGAAAAAAAGAGAAGAGGATTAAAAAACAAAAGAAGAGGAGGATGTGGAAGAGAAGAGAAAAAAAAAAAATAAAGAGAGAAGAAGGAGTTAAGAAAAAAAAAAAAGAGGAAGAAGATGGAAAAAAAGAAGAGAGGAAAAATAAAGAAAGAGGAAGAGAAAAAAAAGAGGAAAAAAAAACAAAAGAAGAGGAGGATGTGGAAGAAAGATAAAAGAAAAAAGAGGGAGAGGATTAAAAAAAAGAAAAAGAAGAGGAGGATGTGGAAGAGAAGATAAAAGAAAAAAAAAAAAAGAAGAGGATTACAAAAAAAAAAAGAAGAGGATGGGAAGAGAAGATAAAACAAAAAAAGAGAGAAAGGATTACAAAAAAAAAAAAGAAGAGGAGGAAAGAAAGAAAAAAGAGGAAGGAAAAAACAAAAAAAAGAGGAAGAGGAAGAGAAGAAAAAAAAAAAAGAAGGAAGGATGAAAAAAAAGAAGAGGAGGAGGAAAAGAAGAAAAAAAAAAGAGAGAAGAAAATTAAAAAATTAAAAGAAGAATAGAGGAAGAAAAAGAGAAGAAAAAACAAAAAAGGAAGAGGATTACAAAACAAAAAAAGAAGGAGGATGTGGAAGAGAAGAGTGAAAAAAAAAAAAAGAGGAGAAAGAGAAGAGGATTACAAAACAAAAAGAAGAGGAAGAAAACAAAGAAGAGAAGATAAAAGAAAAAAAAGAGAGAGGATTACAAAAAAACAAAAAAGAGAGAAGAGGAGGAAAAAATCAGATAGGTTTGTCAAAAGAAAGGAGGAAAAAAAAAGAAAAAGAAAAAGAAAAGAAGACAAAACAAAAAAAAGAAGAGGAGGATGTGGAAGAGAAGATAAAAGAAAAAAGAGAGAAGAGGCTTACAAAATCAAAAAAGAGGAGGATGTGGAAGAGAAGATAAAAGAAAAAAGAAGAGGAGAAAAGGAAAGAAGAGGAGGAAAGGAAGAGAAATAAAAAAAAAAAAGAGAGAATTACAAAAGAAAAAGAAGATAGGAGGATGTGGAAGAGAAGATAAAACAAAAAAAGAGAGAGGAGGCAAAACAAAAGAAGAATGTGGAGGAAGATTGCAAAAAAGAGAGAGGAAGACAAAAGAAAAGAAGAGGATGGGACAGAAAATAAAAAAAAAAGAAGAGAAAAACAAAAGAAGAGAGGAGAATGGAAGAGAAGATAAAAAGGTTTGTCAGAAAACAGAGGAAGACAAAACAAAAGAAGAATAGGATGTGGAAGAATCAAGAGGTTTGAAAAAAACAGAGAAAGACAAAACAAAAGAAATAGAAGACAGGAGGATAGGTTTGTCAGAAGAGAAAAAAGACAAAAAGAGAGAAGAGGATTACAAAATCAAAAAAGGAAGAGGATGTGGAAAAGAAAAAAAAAAAAAAAAAGGAGAGAAGAGGATTACAAAACAAAAGAAGAGGAGGATGTGGAAGAGAAGAAAAGAAAAGAAAAAAAAAGGAAGAAGACAAAAAAAAAAAAAAGAGAGGAGAGGATGTATAAGGAAGAATAAAGAGCAAAAAAAGAAGAGAGAATACAAAACAAAAAAAAGGAGGATGTGGAAGAGAAGATAAAAAGAAAAAAAAGGCTGACAGGATTACAAAACAAAAGAAAGAGAAGGAGAATGAAGAGAAGATAAAAAAAAAAAAAAGGAAGAGGATTACAAAAAAAAAAAGAAGAGGAGGATGTGGAGAAGATAAAAGAAAAAGAGGAGAGAGATTAAAAAAAAAAGAAGAGGAGAATGTGGAAGAGAAAAAAAAGAAAAAAGAGGAAGAGGATTACAAAACAAAAAAAGAAGAGAGAAGGATGACAGAAGAGAAGATAAAAAAAAAAAGACAAAAGAAGAGAAAAAAAAAAAAAAGAAGAGGATGTGGAAGAAGAGAAGAAAAAAAAAAAAAAAGAAGAAAGAGGATTACAAAAAAAGAGAAAGAAGAGAAAGGAAAAGGGAAGAGACAAAAGAAGAGGAGATAAAAAAAAAAGAAAAAGAAGAGGAAAAAAAAAGAAGATAGGATGTGAAAGAAAGATAAAGGTTTGTCAAAATAAGAGGATTACAAAACAAAAAGAAGAGAGAATAGGCTGGAAGAGAAGAAAAAGAAAAAAAGAAAGGATTACAAAACAAAACAAAAGGAGGAGAGAAGAGGCTGACAAAATCAAAAAAAGGTTTGTCAGGAATACAAAAAAAAAGAAGAGAGAGAATGTGGAAGAGAAGAAAAAGAAAAAAAATACAGAGAAGACAAAAGAAGAGAGAATAGGCTGAAGAATAAAAAATAAAAAGAGAGAGACAAAAAAAAAGAAAAGGAGGATTAATCAGAGGGTTTGTCTGAAAAAACAGAGCAAGACAAAAGAAAAGAGAAGGAGGATGTGGACAGAAGATAAAGGTTTGTTAGAAACAGAGCAAAACAAAAGAAGAGAGAATAGGCTGGAGAATCATAAAAGGTTTGAAAAAAAAAGAGGAAGACAAAAAAAGAAAGAAGAGGAGGATGTGGAAGAGAAGATAAAAAAAAAAAAAGAAAGAGGATTAAAAACAAAAAGAAGAGGAGGATGTGGAAGAGAAGAAAAAAGAAAAAAAGGCTGAAGAGGATTACAAAAAAAAAAGAAGAGGAAGATGGAAGAGAAATAAAAGAAAAAAAAAGAGGAAGAGGATTACAAAACAAAAAGAAGAGAGAGGAGGTGGAAGAATAAGAAGATAAAAAGAAAAAAGAGGAAGAGGATTACAAAAATAAAAAAGAAATCAGGAGGATTGATGGAAGAAAAAGATAAAAAAAAAAAGAGAGAATAGGCTGACAAAACAAAAGAAGGTTTGGAAATGTGGACAGAGAAGAAAAAGAAAAGAAAAAAAAGAGAATAGGTTTGTCATTACAAAAGACAAAAGAAGAGAGAATAGGCTGGACAGAATCATATAGGAGAAGATAAAAAGAAAAAAAGAAGAGAGAAGAGGATTAACAGAAAAAAAAGTTTGTCATAAAACAGAAAAGAGAAAAAGAAAAGAAAAAAGGCTGGACAGAAAACAAAAGAAGGGAGGATTGAGAAAACAGACAAAACAAAAGAAGAGAGAATAGGAAGGACAGAATCATATAAAAAACAGAAAAAACAAAGAGAAGAGAAAAAGGCTGGAGAAGAGGAGGATGGGTGGAAGAGAAGAAAAAGAAGAAAAAAGAGAGAAAGGATTACAAAAAAAAGAAGAGGAGGATGTGGAAGAAGAAGAAAAGAAAAAAAAGAGAGAAGGAGGCTGACAAAATCAGAGGAGGTTGTGGAAGAGAAGAAAAAAGAGAGAAGAAAGAGGCTGGACAAAAATCATATAGAGGAGGATAAAAGAGAGAAGAGAAAAGAGAGAATAAACAAAAAAAAGAAGAAGGAGATACAAAAGACAAAAGAAGAGGAGAATAGGATGAAGGAAGAGAGAAAGAGCAAAAAAAAGAAGAGAGAAGAGGATGACAAAATCAAGAAGGTTTGTCAAATACAGAGAAGACAAAAGAAGAGAAAAGGCTGAGAATAGGTTTGTCAAACAAAAGAAAAAAGGAAGAGAGAATAGAAGAGAAGAAAAAAAAAAAAAGAGAAGAGAAAGAAGAGAGAAAAAAAGAAGAGGAGGATGTGGAAGAGAGCAAGAAAAAGAAAAAAAGAGAGAATTACAAAACAAAAATCAAAAGAGGTTTGGAAGAGAAGACAGAAAAAAAAAAGAAGAGAGAATAGGCTGACAGAATTAGAGGAGGAAAATAAGAGAGAGCAAGACAAAAAAAGAGAGAATTAGGCTGAAAGAATCAGGAGGTGGAAATACAGAGCAAGACAAAAGAAGAGAGAATTAGGCTGGAAAGAATTAGGAGGTTTGTCAAAGAACAGAGCAAGACAAAAGAAGAGAGAATAGGCTGGACAGAATCATATAGGTTTGTGTGGAACAGAGCAAGACAAAAGAAGAGAGAATAGGCTGGACAGAATCAAATAGGTTTGTCATAACACAGAGCAAGAAAAAAAGAAGAGAGAATAGGCTGACAGAAAAATATAGGTTTGTCAAAATACAGAGGAAGACAAAAGAAGAAGAGAATAGGAGGATTACAGAATCAAATAGGTTTGGATAATACAGAGCAAGACAAAAAGAAAGAGAATAGGCTGGACAGAATCAAATAGGGAGGATGTCATAATACAGAGCAAAACAAAAAAGAGAGAATAGGCTGGACAGAATCATATAGGTTTGTCATAATACAGAGCAAGACAAAAAAAGAGAGAATAGGCTGGACAGAATCAAATAGGTTTGTCATAATACAGAGCAAAAAAAAAAGAAGAGAAAAGAATAGGAGGATGGACAGAAAGAAAAAAGAAGAGGTTTGTCAAATACAGAGCAAAAGATAAAAAAAAAGAAGAGAATAGGCTGGACAGCATCATATAGGTTTGTCATAAAGACAGAAAAGAAAAAAGAAGAGAGAATAGGCAAAACAAAAGAATCATATAGGTTTGTCATAAAACAGAGCAAGACAAAAAAAAAAGAGAGAATAGGCTGGACAAAAGAATCATATAGGTTTGTCATAATACAGAGCAAGACAAAAGAAGAGAGAATAGGCTGACAAGAATCATATAGGTTTGTCATAATACAGAGCAAGACAAAAAAGAGAGAATAGGCTGGACAGAATCAATAGGTTTGTCATAATAAGAGCAAGACAAAAAGAAGAGAGAATAGGCTGACAGAATCATATAGGTTTGTCAGAAAGACAGAGCAAGACAAAAGAAGAGAGAATAGGCTGGACAGAATCATATAGGTTTGTCATAAAACAGAGCAAGACAAAAGAAGAGAGAATAGGCTGACAGAATCATATAGGTTTGTCATAAAACAGAGCAAGACAAAAGAAGAGAGAATAGGCTGAAAAAGAATCATATAGGTTTGTCATAAAACAGAGCAAGACAAAAGAAGAGAGAATAGGCTGGAAAGAATCATATAGGTTTGTCATAATACAGAGCAAGACAAAAGAAGAGAGAAATAGGCTGGACAGAATCAAAGAGGAGGTTTGTCATAATACAGAGCAAGACAAAAGAAGAGAGAATAGGCTGAACAGAATCATATAGGTTTGTCATAAGACAGAGCAAGACAAAAGAAGAGAGAATAGGCTGGACAGAATCAGATGTCAAGAAAAAAAAAAGAGGAAGAGGATTACAAAACAAAAAAGAGAGAATAAGAGAAGACAAAATCATATAGGTTTGTTAAAAAAAAAAGAAGACAAAAAGAAAGAAGAGAGAATAGGCTGACAGAATCATATAGGTTTGTCATACAAAAGAAGAGGAGGAGCAAGACAAAAAAAGAGAATAGGATAGAACAGACAGAATCACAAAGGTTTGAATATAACACAGAGCAAGACAAAAAAAAGAGAGAATAGGCTGGACAGAATCATATAGGTTTGTCAGAAATAAAAAAGAGCAAGACAAAAGAAGAGAGAAGAATAGGCTGAAAGAATCAAATAAAAAAGAAGAACAGAGAGCAAGACAAAAGAAGAAGAGAGATAGGCTGAGAAAATCAAATAGGTTTGAGGATTAGAAAAAAACAGAGCAAGACAAAAGAAAAGAGAATAGGCTGAAAACAGAATCATATAGGTTTGTGGAAATACAGAGCAAGACAAAAGAAGAGAGAAGGCTGGAAAAGAATCATAAGAGGATTTGTCATAAGAAGAGCAAGACAAAAGAAGAGAGAATAGGCTGGACAGAATCATATAGGTTTGTCATAATAAGAGCAAGACAAAAAAAGAGAGAATAGGCTGACAGAATCATATAGGTTTGTCATAATACAGAGCAAGACAAAAGAAGAGAGAATAGGCTGACAGAATCAATAGGGTTTGAAGGAGGAATACAGAGAAGAAGACAAAAGAAGAGAGAATAGGCTGAAAGAATCATATAGGTTTGTCAGAATAGAGAGCAAGAAAAAAAGAAGAGAGAATAGGATGACAGAATCATATAGGTTTGTCATAATACAGAGCAAGACAAAAAGAGAGAATAGGCTGGACAGCAAAGAAGATAGGTTTGTCATAAAGAGCAAGACAAAAGAAGAGAGAATAGGCTGGACATACAGAAAGGGTTTGAGGAAAGAGCAAGAAAAAGAAGAGAGAATAGGCTGAACAGAATCATATAGGTTTGTCAGAATACAGAGCAAGACAAAAGAAGAGAGAATAGGCTGAAAGAATCATAAGAGGTTTGTCATAATACAGAGCAAGACAAAAAAGAAGAGAGAATAGGCTGGACAGAATCATATAGGTTTGTCAAAATAAAAAGAGCAAGACAAAAGAAGAAAAAGAAGAATAGGCTGGACAGAATCATATAGGTTTGTCATAATACAGAGCAAGACAAAAGAAGAGAAGAATAGGCTGGACAGAATCATATAGGTTTGTCAAATACAGAGCAAGACAAAAGAAGAGAGAATAGGCTGGACAGAATCATATAGGTTTGTCAAAAGAATACAGAGCAAGACAAAAAAGAAGAGAGAATAGGCTGACAGAATCATATAGGTTTGTCATAATACAGAGCAAGACAAAAGAAGAAGAGAGAATAGGCTGGACAGAATCATATAGGTTTGTCATAAAGACAGAGCAAAAACAAAAGAAGAGAGAATAGGCTGAGACAGAATCATATAGGTTTGTCATAATACAGAGCAAGACAAAAGAAGAGAGAATAGGCTGACAGAATCATATAGGTTTGTCATAAACAGAGCAAGACAAAAGAAGAGAGAATAGGCTGACAGAATCAAAAGAGAATTGTCATAATACAGAGCAAGACAAGAAGAAGAGAGAGAATAAAACAGAATCAAGAGCAGGTTTGTCATAATACAGAAAGACAAAAGAAGAGAGAATAGGCTGAAGAGAATCATATAAAAGAAAAAAAAGACAGAGGAAGACAAAAAAAAGAAGAGAGAATAGGCTGGACAGAATCAAATAGGTTTGTCATAATACAATAGATGAAGAATGAAGAGGTTTGTCAAGAAAAAAAGACAAAGAGAGAATAGGCTGACAGAATCATATAGGTTTGTCATAAACAGAGAAGACAAAGAAGAAGAGAAATAGGCTGACAGAATCATATAGGTTTGGATGAAAAATACAGAGCAAGACAAAAGAAGAGAGAATAGGCTGACAGAATCAAGAAGAGGTTTGGGAAATACAGAGCAAGACAAAAGAAGAGAGAATAGGCTGGACAGAATCATATAGGTTTGTCATAAAACAGAGCAAGACAAAAGAAGAGAGAATAGGCTGACAGAATCAAATAGGTTTGTCAAGATGTGGACAGAGCAAGACAAAAGAAGAGAGAATAGGCTGACAGAATCATAAAGAAGAGGTTTGTCATAATAAGACAGAGCAAGACAAAAGAAGAGAGAATAGGCTGGACAGAATCATATAGGTTTGTCATAATACAGAGACAAAAAAAAAGAAGAGAGAATATTACAAAACAAAGAATCATATAGGTTTGTCAGAATACAGAGCAAGACAAAAGAAGAGAGAATAGGCTGACAGAATCATATAGGTTTGTCATAATACAGAGCAAGACAAAAAAGAGAGAATAGGCTGACAGAATCATATAGGTTTGTCAAATACAGAGCAAGACAAAAGAAGAGAGAATAGGCTGGACAGAATCATAAGGTTTGTCATAATACAGAGCAAGACAAAAAGAGAGAATAGGCTGAGAATAAGGTTTGCTGGAGCAAGACAAAAGAAGAAAGAATAGGCTGTTTGAAGAGAAAGGTTTGGTGAAAAAGAGCAAAAAAAGAAGAGAGAATAGGCTGACAGAATCATATAGGTTTGTCATAATACAGAGCAAGACAAAAAAAAGAGAGAATAGGCTGAAGACAGAATCAATAGGTTTGTCAAATACAGAGCAAGACAAAAGAAGAGAGAATAGGCTGGAAAGAATCATATAGGTTTGTCATAATACAGAGCAAGACAAAAGAAGAGAGAATAGGCTGGACAGAATCATATAGGTTTGTCATAAAACAGAGCAAGACAAAAGAAGAGAGAATAGGCTGAAGCATCATATAGGTTTGTCATAATACAGAGCAAGACAAAAGAAGAGAGAATAGGCTGGAAGAAAAGATAGGTTTGTTTGTCATAAAACAGAGCAAGACAAAAGAAGAGAGAATAGGCTGACAGAATCATATAGGTTTGTCAAATACAGAGCAAGACAAAAGAAGAGAGAATAGGCTGGACAGAATCATATAGGTTTGTCAAAACAGAAATACAGAGCAAGACAAAAGAAGAGAGAATAGGCTGGACAGAATCAAAAAGGTTTGTCATAATACAGAGCAAGACAAAAGAAGGGAGAATAGGCTGAACAGAATCATATAGGTTTGTCATAATACAGAGCAAGACAAAAGAAGAGAGAATAGGCTGGACAGAATCATATAGGTTAATCATAAAAGAGAGCAAGACAAAAGAAGAGAGAATAGGCTGGACAGAATCATATAGGTTTGTCATAATACAGAGCAAGACAAAAGAAGAGAGAATAGGCTGACAGAATCAAGAGAGGGTTTGTCATGGGAACAGAGCAAGACAAAAGAGAGAGAATAGGCTGGACAGAAAAAGAAAGAGGTTTGTCAATAGGTGAAGAGGAGGTTTGTGGAAGAGAGAAAAAAAAGAGAAAGAGCTGGACAGAATCAAAGATAGGTTTGTCATAATACAGAGCAAGACAAAAGAAGAGAGAAAAAGGCTGAACAGAATCATATAGGTTTGTCATAAAACAGAAAAAAAGACAAAAAAAGAGAGAATAGGCTGGACAGAATCATATAGGTTTGTCATAATACAGAGCAAAAACAAAAGAAGAGAGAATAGGCTGGACAGAATCATATAGGTTTGTCATAATACAGAGCAAGACAAAAGAAGAGAGAATAGGCTGACAGAATCAAAGAGGTTTGTCATAATACAGAGCAAAACAAAAGAAAGAGAATAGGCTGGACAGCATCATATAGGTTTGTCATAAACAGAGCAAGACAAAAGAAAGAGAGAATAGGCTGGACAGAAAAAGAATAGGGTTTGTCATAAACAGAAAGACAAAAGAAGAGAGAATAGGCTGGACAGAATCAAATAGGGTTTGTCATAATACAGAGCAAGACAAAAGAAAAAAGAATAGGCTGACAGAATCATATAGGTTTGTCATAAGACAGAGCAAGACAAAAAAGAAGAGAGAATAGGCTGGACAGAATCATATAGGTTTGTCATAATACAGAAGCAAGACAAAAAAGAGAGAATAGGCTGGACAGAATCAACATAGTTTGTCAGGAATACAGAGAAGACAAAAGAAGAGAGAATAGGCTGACAGAATCATATAGGTTTGTCATAATAAAGAGCAAGACAAAAGAAGAGAGAATAGGCTGAAGAATCATAAAAAAAAAAGGAAAGAAAAGAAGTAAAATAGGCTGAAAGAAGAGGAGGATGTGCAAGACAAAAAGAAGAGAGAATAAAAAGACAGAATCATATAGGTTTCATAAACAGAGCAAGACAAAAGAAGAGAGAAATAGGCTGACAGAAATATAGGTTTGTCATAATACAGAGCAAGACAAAAGAAGAGAGAATAGGCTGGACAGAATCATATAGGTTTGTCAGAATACAGAGCAAGACAAAAGAAGAGAAATAAGCTGGACAGAATCATATAGGTTTGTAAAAAGACAAAAGAGGAAGAGAAAAAAGAAGAAAGAGGCTGGACAGAATCATATAGGTTTGTCATAATACAGAGCAAGACAAAAGAAGAGAGAATAGGCTGACAGAATCAAAAAGGTTTGTCATAATACAGAAGAAGACAAAAAAGAGAGAATAGGCTGAACAAAATTTGTCAGAATTAAAAACAAAAAAAAGAAGGTTTGTCATAATAAAGAGCAAGAAAAAAGAAGAGAAGAAAAAGAAAAGAACAGAATCATATAGGTTTGTCAAAATACAGAGAAGACAAAAAAAGAAGAGAGAATAGGCTGGACAGAATCAAAAAGGAAAAAATACAGAGCAAGACAAAAGAAGAGAGAATAGGCTGGACAGAATCATATAAAAGAAAAAAAAATACAGAGCAAGACAAAAGAAGAGAGAATAGGCTGGACAGAATCATATAGGTTTGTCAAAACACAGAGCAAGACAAAAGAAGAGAAAATAGGCTGACAGAATCATATAAGGTTTGTCAAAATAAAAGAGCAAGACAAAAAGAAGAAAGAATAGGCTGGAGGATCAGAATCAAATAAGAAGTCATAATCAAGAGAAGACAAAAAAAGAAGAGAAAAGAGGAGAGGACAGAATCAAGAAGGGTTTGTCATAATACAGAGAAGAAAAAGAAGAGAGAATAGGAAAGACAGAATCAAATAAGGTTTGTCATAATACAGAGCAAGACAAAAAAGAAGAGAAATAGGCTGAAAGAATCATATAGGTTTGTCATAATACAGAGCAAGACAAAAGAAGAGAGAATAGGCTGAACAGAATCAAAAAAAGAGAGCAAGACAAAAGAAGAGAGAATAAAACAATCATAGAAATAGAGAAAAGACAAAAGAAGAGAGAATAGGTTTGAGAAATCAAGGTTTGTCATAAAAAAAGACAAAAAGAAGAGAGAATAGGCTGACAGCATCATAAGGGTTTGTCATAAACAGAGCAAGACAAAAGAAAGAGAGAATAGGCTGAAACAGAATCATATAGGTTTGTCATAATACAGAGCAAGACAAAAGAAAAAAGAAAAAAATATAAGAAGAGGATTACAGCAAAAAAAGAAGAGTTTGTCATGAGACAAGAGAGAAAAAGAGAAAAAAAGAAGAGAGAATAGGCTGACAGAATCAAATAGGTTTGTCATAATACAGAGCAAGACAAAAGAAGAGAGAATAGGCTGGACAGAATCAAAGGTTTGTCATAATACAGAGCAAGACAAAAAGAAGAGAGAATAGGCTGGACAGAATCATATAGGTTTGTTATAATACAGAGCAAGACAAAAGAAGAAAAAATAGGCTGGAAAGAATCATATAGGTTTGTCAGGAAAAGAGAGAAGACAAAAAAGAGAGAATAATTGAAAGCATCATATAGGTTTGTCATAATACAAGCAAGACAAAAGAAGAGAGAATAGGCTGAAAAGAATCAGGATATTTTTTGTCAAAGATTTTACAGAGCAAGACAAAAGAAGAGAAATAAAGAATAGAATCAGATGGAAAGAATCATATAGGACAAAAGAAAAGAGAATAGGCAAGAATCAAAAGAAAAAAGAATAGAGCAAAGACAAAATCAAGAGAATAGGCAAACAGAAGAAGAGACAAAAAAAAAAGAGAAGAAAAAGAAACAGAATCATAAGGTTTGTAGGTTTGTAAATAAGAGCAAAACAAAAGAAGAGAGAATAGGCTGGACAGAATCAATAGGTTTGTCATAATAAAGAAAAAGAAGACAAAAAAAGAGAGAATAGGCTGGACAGAATCATAAGGTTTGTCAAAAGAAAGAGAAAAAAAAAAAAAGAAAAAGAGAATAGGAGAAGACAGAATCAATAAAAAAAAAACAGAGCAAACAAAAGAAGAGAGAATAGGCTGACAGAATCATATAGGTTTGTCATAAACAGAGCAAGACAAAAAGAAGAGAGAATAGGCTGGACAGAATCATAAAGGTTTGTCATAAACAGAGCAAGACAAAAGAAGAGAGAATAGGCTGGACAGAAAATAAGGTTTGTCATAAACAGAGCAAGACAAAAAGAAGAGAGAATAGGCTGAAGAATCATATAGGTTTGTTGCATTGAGCAAGACAAAAGAAGAGAAGAAAAGGCTGACAGAATCATATAGGTTTGTCATAAAAAAGCAAAGAAAAGAAGAGAAGAATAGGCTGACAGAAGAAAAAGGGTTTGTCAAAATACAGAAAAAGACAAAAGAAGAGAGAAAAGGCTGGACAGAATCATATAGGTTTGTCATAATACAGAGCAAGACAAAAGAAAAGAAAGGGCTGACAGAATCAAAAGGTTTGTCAAGAGAAACAGAAGACAAAAAAAGAGAGAGAATAGGCTGGACAAAATCATATAGGTTTGTCAAGAGAAGAGAAAAAGACAAAAAAGAGAATAATAGGCAGAATCATAATCATATAGGAGTTGTCAAAAGAAAATAGGCTGACAAAAAAACAAAAGAAAGAAAAAGAAGAATAGATTGACAGAATCATATAGGTTTGTCAAAAACAGAGCAAACAAAAGAAGAGAATAATAGGATGACAGAATCAAATAGGTTTGTTGAGAAAGAGAAGACAAAAAAAGAAAAAAAAAGAGAATAGGCTGGACAAAAAGAAAAGGTTTGTCAAATGACAGAATAAAAAGAAAAGAAAAAGAAGAGAGAATAGGCTGGACAGAAAATATAAAAAAATAAAAGAGAAAAGACAAAAGAAGAGAGAATAGGCTGGACAGAATCATATAGGTTTGTGTAATAAAGAGAAAGACAAAAGAAGAGAGAAAAATAGGCTGGAAGAATAAAATAGGTTTGTCAAATACAGAGCAAGAAAAAAGAAGAGAGAATAGGCTGACAGAATCATATAGGTTTGTCATAATACAGAGCAAGAAAAAAAGAAGAGAAATAGGCTGGACAGAATCATAAAGGTTTGTCAAAAAGAAAGACAAAAAAAGAGAGAATAGAAACAGAATTGTCAAAAAAAAGAAAAAAAAGAGAGAATAGGCTGAACAGAATAGGTTTTTAATAAAGAAGAAAAAGAAGAGAGAATAAAAAACAGAATCATATAGGTTTGTCAAAAAAAGAAAAGACAAAGAAGAGAGAATAGGCTGACAGAATCAATAGGTTTGTAAATAATACAGAAAAGACAAAAAAAGAGAGAAATAACAGAAAAATATAGAAAAATGAATACAGAGCAAGAAAAAAGAGAGAATAGGCTGAACAGAATTTATAGGTTTGTCAAAATACAGAGCAAGACAAAAGAAGAGAGAATAGGCTGGACAGAATCATATAGGTTTGTCAAATACAGAGCAAAAAAAAGAAGAGAGAATAGGCTGACAGAAAATAGGTTTGAAAATACAGAGCAAAACAAAAGAAGAGAGAATAAAACAGAATCAAAGAAGAGAGAATATAAAGACAGAATCAAAGAAAAAAAAAAAAAAATAGGAGAATTAGGCTGGAAATATAGGAAAAAAAAAAAAAAGAAAAAAAGAGAGAATAGAGAAAAAAAAAAATAGGTTTGGAAAAAGAGCAAAAAAAAAAAGAAAAATAGGCTTTCATTAGAATCAAAAAAAGGTTTGAAAAAAGAAAAGAAAAAAGAAAAAAAAAAAAAAATAAAAAAGGCAAAAAAAAAAAAAAAAGAAAAAAACATTTAAGAAAAAAAAAAAAAAAAGAGAGAATAAAGAAAAAAAAAAAAAAAAAGAAAAAAAAGTAAAAAAAAAAAAGAATTAAGAAATGAAAAAGAAAAAAAAAGAGAGAAAGGTTTTAAAATAGAAAAGAAAAAAGAAAGAAATAAGAAAAAAAGAAAAAAAAAAAAAAAAAAATTTGAGAAAAAAAAAAAAAGAGAGAATAGAAAGGAAAGAATCAAAAGAAAAAAAAGAGCAAGAAAAAAAAAAAAAAAAAAAAAAAAGAAAGAAAAAGGTTTTGTAAAAAAAAAAAAGAGAGAATAACAATTTTAAAAAAAAAAAGGTTTGCTTAAAAAAGAGAAAAAAAAAAAAAGAGAATAGGCTATATGAATCATAAATAGAAAAATAACAAAAATATCAAAAAAAAAAATAAAAAAAGAAAATTTCCCAAAAGAAAAAAATTAAAAAGAAAAAAAAAGTAAAAAAAGAAAAATTAAAAAGAAGAGAGAAAAAAAATAAAAGAAAAAAAAAAAAAACAAAAAAGAAAAAAAAATTCCGCCTGAAAAAAAAAGAGAAAAAATTATCAAAAAAAATAAAAGCAAAAAAAAAAAAGAAGAGAATAAAGACAGAAAATTAGGTTTGTCATTTAAATGAAACAAAAAAAGAGAAAAAAAAAAGACAGAAAAAAAAAGAATTCAAAAAAAGAGAAACAAAAGAAGAGAAGAATTTAAAAATTTGCAATCAAATAGGTTGGTAGAAGAGAAATAGGCTTTAAAAAAAGGAAAATAAATAAAATTCAAAAAAAAGAATCAGGTAGGTTTGGAAAAAAAAAAGAGAAAGAAAAAAAAAAAGATAAAAAAGGTTAAAAAATTTAGCAAAACAAAAGTTAGAATAGGCTGAAGAATCAGAAAAAATGAAAAAAACAGAAAAAAAAAAAAGAAAAAAAGGCTGAAAAGAAAAAAAAAGGGGTTTGTAAAAAGAGCAAAGAAAAAAAAGAAGAGAGAATTAGGCTGGAAAAAATCATAATGTTGGAAAAAAGAATTTTAAAAAAA